CCCAACCAGTCCAACACTGGCCCAACCAGTCCAACACTGGCCCAACCAGTCCAACATTGGCCCAACACCACTCCAACCAGTCCAACACCAGCCCAACTGGTCTGACCCCAGCCCAACCAGACCAAGACCAGCCCAGCCAGGCCACTGGCCACACCAGGTCTGGCTGAAGCTAGTCAGAGCTAAAAAATCTTACAGTGAAAAAAAAGGCTCCTCTAAACCCAAAGTCACTAGCATCACTTTTCCCCCAGACCCTTTCCAACCCATCAGTGCCTGCTGGGACAGCACACGGCCCAGGCAAAACCCTGTGTGCCGGCACCTCCTGGCACGGGACTCCTCCGGGACTCATGACTTTTTGGTGCCATGAGGCAAGGACGGACGCACCCGGCTCCCTGCATGCCGCCGGCAGTGACCAAACTAAGGGGTGAGACCAGAGTGGTCCCAGCACCACCAGTTATATGAGCACGCTGCGGCACAACATGACTACCCCAAGCTCCCCAAAGCAAATTATTCTTGTTTTATGGCGAAGCGATTAACGAGGGTTATTTCCATGGCAACTGGAGCAGCTCCGCAAGAACCCGGAGGGCCTTTATCTCCTATTTTAAATCATAAAAGAAGAATGAGCTGAAGAAAATCACTTCTGGGGAAACTGGTCGCAGAGCTGATTCCTCACCCCTGATTTGGCAGGGGAGCACAAGTTTCTTGATGGCTTCTTGAGCATCCAACTAGCGCGGTGGTTAGTGACTTCTCTCTAACACAAAAAAACTTGCTCCCCTCCCCATCACAGCCGCAGTGTTTCTGGGGGACACACACAACGTGGTGATCATCGCCGGACAGCGATGCTGAAGCAAACTGCCATGTGGTGTGCCATATCCATGATCTCCCGCAGCTGCTCACTGTAGCACCATTGGGTGGCAGGGAGGGAGACATAAGGAGGGCAGGGATCGATGTCCTGCATTGCTCTTTCACCAGCGCAGCCCATCCCAGGACACTGGTCAAACGGAGACGGGACCGGCTCAGGGCACTCCATGGGCTGCAGCAGATCTGCATGAGGACCAAGCAATGGGATGCTCCTCAGCTTTGGGGGGTGCACTCAGCAGTGCACACGGGACCCTGCCACCTTTCAAGCCTTTCTCCAAGCAGGACCATGCTCCCCTCCGCAGCCCCAGCGCTCCCCAGCACAGCCCAGCGTGCTCCACCAGCATCACCATTATCTGACAGCCGGGTCAGAGGGAGGAAAGCTGGCATCAGTGCAGGATACGGGGAGATGCGTCAGAAGACGGGGGGGGGGGGAGCGGATCTCCCTGGCCAGGGATCGTCAAAGCCTCAGAAACACAACCCTTAATACTGAGTGATCACCTCTGAGTTATCTCCTTCCTCCATGGCCTGGCGATGTTTGAAAACAAGGTCAGCCAGCTTAGAAAAACCCGCTCACCTGCTGATCGTTAACAGTGAGATTCATAATGCCCTGAAACCAAGCGCAGACGGTGCGGCACCACTCGCCCATACGAATGAGCACGGGACGATGGGCATGATGGAGCAGTGTCCCCATCCGGGCTGCCTCGAGACCGCCTCTGCCTGGCCGGGGGGAACTGAAGATCGATGTCTCCCTCGCTCTCTGCCTTGGGATTTTGCCTTATTTATTTACCAGGGAGCGGAGCAGCGGGTGTCGTGCCACGAGACCATGCAGTCTCCCGGGGCTGGTTGCGCTTCCTTGCCTGCTACAGAGGGTTGCTGGGCTTTTTGGACTGGGACGCCGGTGCCACCATGCCGAGCTCGGACATCTCCTGACAAGTCCTGCCCAGTTTTCCCTCACCCCGTGCAGGCAGGGAGAGTAATGAACAGGCAGCCTGGGACCACGGATGTGGCAGCTGGTGGAGCACCGCACCGGGCCCCGCTCCGTGGGAGGCACAGGCACCAGCGTGAGACAAATAAACAGCAATAGAGCCAAGGGAGTGATGTGAAAACATTTGTTGAGCATGTGGATTGGGAAAAAAAAATTTGAATGCAGCCACAAATATTCCTGGATAGCTGGACAATCTCTGTTCTCTCTAGAAAAATACTCACAACTCGCTCAGAACGCGCAATATACGCTATATATAGGTATGTATTCTTTCCAAGCACCACATTACACATATACACACAGACATTCATGTTGCATCCGAACCAGTCTGTATAGACAATGTATCAAAGTCACTGTCAAGGTACCTCACCCTTCATCTTCCTCTGCCGGCACGCTTTCGAAAGAGCGCCGCACTGGGCCAAAGCCACCCCTTTGCCCAGGCAATTATTTTATCATTTAATACATCTTCCACTACTCACACTCCGGCTAAGGAGGGTGTATTAAACTAATAAATCTCCTTGGCAAAGACATATCATTGCATTTGGGATCTGAAACAATTTCTTTCGCAGTTCCCCCCCCCTCCACGGCTGCTCTCCCCGCGCACGCCCCTGCCTGCAACCAGCAGCCTGCCCGTAATGAAGGCATAAATATATTAATCAGGTGCTCAAACAGGCTCTCCTATAATTACAGCTAGGTTTTGATTAACTCTCGCACCCAGCCCTGCTCTGATTGCTGGTGCTGGGGATCTGATTGCTGCCTCGGCGGAGGGCGGCTGTTCCTGTGGGCTGGGGGCTATGTCCCTCCTCGTGGATTTAATATAGACCCGCAGGCCTCTGGGAGCTGCCGCCGCTAAACACGGAGCTGTGCGCACTCCTTCGAGTGGCTGATTAGATTATTCTTTTAATTAAGAGCACAGGTTTTCTGGGACATGATTTGCCCTGCCGAGCCTGGGGGCTGGATGCAAGCTGGCTGGAGCTGGGGGCTGCACCCCACCCCGTCCCCCAAGACCCCCACTGCTGCTCCAAGCACTACTGCACTGCAAAGACACAGTAACTCCCCATTAATGTCCCTTTCCAGAGAGACCTACACCACCACTGCCTTGTACCTCTTCTCCTCTGATAGTCATCCAAACCACGTACCACATCCCCCACGGATGCCCCAAGCCCATCGACTGATTTTACACCCGCTCCGTGCTGTTTATCCCAAACTCAGTTTCTCCTCCAGACGTGCAAAGAGTGCACCACTGCTTTTCCATTTCAATCCCTACATCAAATAAATGGGCTAACGTGCTGCTATTTACCTCCGCTTTTCTGCTGCTCTCCAAGACTCCCATAGCCTGTCTCCTGCAAACGCCACCAAACAATTTCCTGATCAATCCTTCCCATGCCTCGTGTGAACAGATCGCTCTCCCTAGCAAAGGAGCCTGCTCCTTTTGGAAAATCATATTTATGAAGGTGCAGGCTATGCCGAGTGCTGTCTGATCACAGGGACTGGCTCCGGGTGCTAGAATATAAGGCTGCGAGAGTATGCGTAGTTAAATGTTGGGATTTTATTACCTAACTACAGCCTATAATCTTGGTTAAGCTTTAGGAAAAATCATACAGGTGGTTCCCACATTCATTTAAATCAGCCTAACTCCCTACATCGAGATTCGTTGGATGGATGGATGTTGGGTACAAAGCTACGCCAGCTGGTGCAGAGGAATATTGGGGTGTCCGTGAAGATTAGAGGCTTTTTGGCAGGCCAGTAAGTCCAGTAGCTCTGAAATTAAAACAACGGTGGGGTTTTTTTTCCCCCGCTTAACTAACTCTGGCCATTTGCCAACCCAGCTGTGACATTTGCTCTCAGGAGCCAGGTCTGAAATACGTGTGCTCAGAGGCTTCTCAGAGAGCCCTCTGGCTCTCCTCTAGCAAATGTCTTAGTTGGCGTTGCAAAAACAAGTCATTAAGAAGACCAGCTCCAAAGGAATACTTCCCATCGTCTTATTAAAACATTTGTCAGTCTGTCCTAGGGAGATTTAATGAGGTTTGGTCTTATTACTTCCACCCTGAAGAGTTATTTCCTCCCTGCCTTGCTTGAGAAGTT